CATTTTGGTCTTTTAAATTTTTCAATTATCTCGCTTTGTTTTCGCGGAAAAATTACAATACCATACCTCGGCATGTCTCTGGACTCCATAAGAAAAAATAAAAATGCTTAGGAATTGATTAAAAATTTATCGGAGTTTGTTGGTTTATGAAAACAAAAAAAAAAAAACCTCAAATGGAATTTATGTCTTTGTCACTCAATGAATGGGTGATGTACCTTAATTCCTATGAATTTTTATATTTCCTTATGGAGTCCAGAGACGTGCCGAGTTATGGTATTGTAATTTTTCCGCGAAAACGGAGCGAGATAATTGAAAAATTTAAGAGACAAAAATGTATTTTTAGGGTGTCTGTCTGAATAATCAATAAAAATCGTACAAAAACTACAGAGTGATATTTTTTTCTGCACAAAAACAACCGACTTGGTCGCTAGGTACGCCCCTGGGTATTCTGGATCAAATCTAATTGGTCCAGTAGATGTCTGATAATGGTTTAAATAAACCGTGAAAATTTTATTGAAATCGGCCAAAGCTCTTTTGGACTATTAATAAAAAACTATTTTTTTTTTGAAAAACGTATCACCCTGTATCTTGGAAACAAAGCGTTTCCGGACCTATATCCATAGGAACTTTTTTAATTATTTTCATGAATACTATCTGCCCTTGAAGTTTGTAACACCATTTCTGAAACACCCTGTATATATACAGAGTGTCAATTTGAAAACTTCCCACCCCTATTATCTCGGAGCAGAAAAATTTTCGAAAAAATTCCTGAAACCCGTCAACTTTAATTCGAAGGGAGATGAGTTTTTATGGAAAATTCACCTTCCTTCTTTAAACCCCCCAGCCCCCAGAGCCACCCCCTGGCAAATTTTAAATGGGAAGGGGGGTCAAGTGATACATCGTTTTGAAGGGTTTTTAATTCCATACATTTTAGTACAAAATTTTAATTCCTAAGCTCAACTGTTTTGGAATTATTGACAGTTGAAAATTGACTTTTTTGCCACTTTGACAGGCTGTAAAACCTAAACGGTTAATTTTAGATTTTTATAAACTATCATTTGACAGCACCTTCGAATTTAATCCACGATTAAAAATTCCGGTTGAAAATTTAATCTCCGGTTAAATTCAAAAATGGTGTCAAATGATAGTTTATGAAAATCTAAGCCATGAATATAAGATCGGTTTTCCTCTAAAATTAACCGTTTAGGTTTTACAGCCTGTCAAAGTGGCAAAAAAGTCAATTTTCAACTGTCAATATTTCCAAAACAGTTGAGCTTAGGAATTAAAATTTTGTACTAAAATGTATATGGAATGGACCCCCCTTCCCATTTAAAATTTTCTAGGAGGTGGCTCTGGGGGCTAGGGGGTTGAAAGGGGGAAGGTGAATTTTCCATAAAAACTCATCCCCCTTCGAATTAAAGTTGACGGGTCTCAGGAATTTTTTCGAAAATTTTTCTGCTCCAAGATAATAGGGGTGGGAAGTTTTCAAATTGACACTCTGTATTTGGTTATATTATACAGGGTGTCAATTTGAAAACTTCCCACCCCTATTATCTCGGAGTAGAAAAATTTTCGAAAAAATCCCTGAAACACGTCAACTATAATTTGAAGGGGGATGAGTTTTTATGCAAAATTCACCTTCCCTATTTCAACCCCCAAAGTCACCCCCTAGAAAATTTCAAATAGGAAGGGGGGCCTAGTGATACATCATTTTGGAGGGCTTTTAATTCCAAAATTTTAATCCCTAAGTTCAACTGTTTTAGAAATATTGACAGTTGAAAATTGACTTTTAGGCAACTTTGACAGGCTGTAAAACCTAAGCGGTTAATTTTAGAGGAAAACCGATCTTACATTCTTGTCTTAGATTTTTCTAAACTATCATTTGACAGCAACTTCGAATTTAATCCACGATCAAAAATTCCGGTTTAAAATTTAATCTCCGGTTAAATTCAAAAATGTTGTCAAATGATAGTTTATGAAAATCTAAGACAAGAATGTAAGATCGGTTTTCCTCTAAAATTACCCGTTTAGGTTTTACAGCCTGTCAAAGTAGCAAAAAAGTCAATTTTCAACTGTCAATATTTCAAAAACAGTTGAACTTAGGGACTAAAATTTAGTACCAAAATGTATGGAATTAAAAACCCTGCGAAATAATGTATCACTTGACCCCCCTTCCCATTTAAAATTTTCTAGGGGGTGGCTCTGGGGGCTGGGGGGTTGAAAGGGGGGAGGTGAATTTTGCATAAAAACTTACCCCTCCTCAAATAATAGTTGACATGTTTCAGGGATTTTTTCGAAAATTTTTCTACTCCGAGATATAGGGGTAGGAAGTTTTCAAATTGACACCCTGTATAGCGGAGACTATATATAATACTATATTTTACATTCAACGTATAATGGGTAAATCGTAATAAGCTCATTTGAAATTGATAAGTATTGTAGTTTCAACAAATAGAAATATTATAATAACCGTCAGTTGATTGTCTATTGGGGGAAAAGCCGTCAGTCATCCGATAGAAAATTCCGCGCGTCGCATAATTGCATGAGCGCGCTCATACATTTTCGCCCTGACTGACGGTCTTACCCCCACTAGACAGGCAGCTGACGGTCATTATTATATTTCTATATATGTATGAAATCATGTGTGAAAATTTCAAGCGAGATGAAATAATTTGAAATTCATATTTTTTTATCAAGTTCACGCGCTCGGCTGACGCACCATCCCTCCTCTGCCGCACGGATGACGGTCTTTTTCTGTTGCTAATTGTTATAAATAATGTGTGTTAACAATTTCAGCTGGGATGAAATACCTTTAGAAAACTTTTTTTTTACGAGTTCCGCAGCCTCCCACGCGCCCACCCACCGCTACTAGACTGGCTGACGGTCGCTTTCGTCATTAGGAATGTGACTACAAAGCACGGTATTAATCTCAGCCGAGATGAAATTCTTCGAAAAAAAAGCCGCTGCCTCCTGGACGAGTTTAGAGATAGGGTCTTCTGGCCCTATCTGTCTGTATCTCCACCAGCGTAAAGCCTCACATTCAAAGAATATGTAGGTGGCGGTTTCATCCTCCTCGTCACAAAGTTTGCATATGGGTTCTTCTTGGAGGATGCCCATTGTGTGAAGGTGTTTTCTTAGGCTATAGTATTTAGTTATAAGTCCAGTTATTAACCTGATTTGATTCCTGTTTAGTTTGTAGGATTTCTTCAGTAAGTTTAGGTGATGGTTGTTGTACTATTAGCTTACTGTGTCTGAACTTCGGAAGAGTTTGCCAGAAAGTTTTGTGTTGTCTATACACCCATTGGTTTATTTTTGTTCTCACCGATGATTTTGTAATGCCATTTGAGTTCAGGACAGTATAACTGGTTGCCGATCCTTCTCTTGCCAGAACAGCTGCTTTTTCATTTCCTTCAATTTCTTTATGCCCTGACACCCATTTAAGGGTTACCTTGTTGGCCATACTTAGGTTTTTGAGGATTTCCAAGCATTCCCAGACAAGTTTGGATTTTATTTCAAAGCTGTTGAGTGCTTTGATCGACCGCTTGACCGTCTTAGCAGATAAGTATGTTTTTACCTGTATATCCCCTCCTCAGGTTTTCTGTCGGACAGGAGTAGATGGCAGATGGCATATATTTCTACTTAGAATAGAGTAGTGTATTCTCTCAGAGGTTGACATACTTTCCGTTGGTGTGCTTCTCTGTGCATCGGTAATACAAAGACACGCAAGTCTCTGGATTTTGGCTAGCTCCAGATTTGCTCGTCTTTGGTTTACTTTAGGCCACCATACAAGTGCACTATATGTTATCATTGGTCTTACAAAAGTAGTGTATATCCATTGTACGAGTGACGATTTTAGTCCCCATGTTTTCCCAATCGCTCTTTTTAGTGACATCACCGTCATCTTGCTTTTGGTGGTTATCTTTTGGATGTGTTGGTTCCATGTCAGCTTCATATTCAGGATGATTCCTAGAAATTTAGCTTACCTGCCAATCTCCAAGGTTTTTTGGAATAAACTGATGGGGGCGATTAAGTTCTCCAGATTTCTTTTTCTCGTGAAAGGAAGGAGTTTTGTTTTGGAGGGGTTGACGCGAAGTTGCTCCCTCGTGCACCATTCCTCAGTGATGTCTTAGGCATCATTTTTGCTAATGAGGTTTGATACCGTCCTGGTGAATCCTCCCCTAATGACAACGACTATGTTATCCGCGTAGCCTAGGGTGATGTAGCCTTGATCGTTTAGTTTCCTCAGAAGTTCATTCACGACTAGATTCTACAAGAGTGGTGAAATTACTCCGCCCTGTGGGCATCCTTTTGTCGCGGTTACTTTAATAGAGGTTTAAGCAATAGTCGAGTTTATAGTCCTGTGTTTTAGCATGGACTTGATCCATCTGCATGTGGTATATTAATCGCATGTTGCCCAGCAGCTCTGACTATACAATCACTTAAAAAAAAAAAAGTTATTTTTTGAAGGCCTAAAATAAACGTTTTTGGACACCCGAAAAGCACCTGCCTGCGGCGAGCCTTCATCATTATGAACCCCCCCCCCCCCCCGTCCAGATGAAAAACCTGGGTGCGCCACTGAACCTTGAACATGTATCTTTTTTTGATGTTGTGATATACAGGGTGTTCCATTAAAAATAGTGGAGAACTTTGATGTTGAATAACAGATATTTTTTTATTCGCCCTGTATATGTTTCAAAAAAAACTAGCAACACTTGATATAGTATTTCCTTCTGTACTTATACTTGTACTGGTACGTGATTCGTTCTAAAAAAGAAACTTGTACTTTATACTTGAGTACTTTTTCTTGGTACTTACAACAGCTCTGATACCAATGTGAGCTAATATACAAGTCTCAATGAGGACTAGCTCATATTGGGGATTATTTTGAATATATGACTAGAAAGAAATCCCTAATAATTTAATGAGAATAAGTTTTCATTGGAAAATATCTTCTTAAGTTTTGATTATTTTTAATTTAATTCCTTTTGCAGCTTCTCGTGCTCGTAGAAATATTAACTATGACGATACATTTTACATGGAATCCAACTTGGAGGAAAAAGAAATGTTAGTACTAAATGACCCTCAAGCTGTGCATAACGATATTCTTAAACCTCGAAGTAATTACAAGTGGGCAATAAATAATAAAGTTCCTAAAAATGGCCAAAAAAACAAGTAAATATTTATAATAAAACCGTCTAATAGAAATATAGAAAGTGAACTTTTTAGGGTGAAAGAAACCGAGTTTAAAGTAACTGAAACTGGTGAATTCCATTGTCTTCAATGTGAATTTGGTGTCACTACGGGGATACAGCGTAGGCACAAGATGGTTCAACATATTCTCAGTGAACACCGTGACGTGAAACAGTTGTACCAGTGTCCCTATTGCCCCTTCAAAAGCGCATGGTGTTTAGACCGTCACATTTTGTCTAAACATACCAGTGAGAAAGATACTAATTGGATTAAGTAAGTACTTTGCTATTCCTATAATCAAATATGTATGTACTTTGCAATTAAGTGTCTTGGTTTATTTCCAAAATCAACTATTTTATTAATGGCTAGCCATAATATACACATGCTGAAGAAAAGATAAAAAGACTGGAAAGGGTTTAAATAGGTACGGATATATCAAAGCTGATGAAGAGGAACAATAAGGAATTGCTGGGTGGGGACACAAAGGAAATGAATGAACTGAGAACACTGGTTTCAACACTATTGTGTCAAAATCTGTTAGTATTTTTAAATGAACTGTTTCTCCAAAACCTCACGAATTCAACACCCTGTTGGGCCTGGTGTTAACACAGGCTAGCATCTGTAAATATGCAGCCAATGCATTGATTTCCACGTGGATTAAGAGCTATCTCTACTAATCCACCTGCAAACTGGAAAACTTCTAGTGCACGGGCTATGTAAATGAGGGCGTGTGTGTCAAAAATATGAAAAATGAAGACTTACAAACTTTAAAACTATTTCCCAACCAGTCTTCAAAGTTCAAAATTGCCAAAACCCAGATTTTAGAGGGTGGCCGATCATAGTATTGGGCAATTTATTTAATAGAAATAGTATATTACACCTAGGAATGAGGAGTACCGCTCTGGTCCCTGAAAACAGTGATCAAAAATACTATTTTAATCCTCATAGTGCATAAATATGTATAATGTTTGTGCGACCGGTCGCGAAATGAGTTTTCGTTGACGCTACTTCCTTTATTTGAAAAATTTGTCAAATCCTTAGTCTATAGAACTCTGCTACCTCTGCCACCGGGCTCTATATTGAAGTCGTGCGGTTTGTTCCCCCCGTGTTTTCAAAGAAAGGGCCTGTTCAAAGAAATACTATTTATCATAATTTTCATACAAATAACTACCTACTATTTGAACACTTTTCATGCAGAGTAGTAGTTGAACTTGGATTTTTCAAAGCATCTTTTTTTCAGGTGTGATAAGTGTGATTATAAATGCAAGGCGCAATATGAATTGAACAGACATTCGACAGTTCATTACAATAATGGAGATTTGCCACAGATAGAATTATTGGAAAAACACAAGTGTACTATATGCGAGAAAGGTTTTAAAGCTGCCAGTAATCTGAGAAAGCACATCCAACAAATTCATAAGAAACAAAAACCCAAGCTTCATTGTGATCATTGCGACTACACAGCACCTCTAAATACTATGTTGAAACGCCACATTGAAGGTACATTCCAAGTAAGTTGAGTAGGAGAATAGTTTACTTATTTTTCCTTATTTTAGTAATACATACTGATTCTAAACATCTCAAAATTCATCGTTGCCAAAAATGCAGTTACGAAACCAAATTTATTCATCGTTTGAACCTACATATGAAAGCTCAACATTCAACTCCGTAAGTAAGTACCTAATTTAAATATAAACCATTTTAACATGTTTGTATTTATTTTTAGAGTAGTTTGTGAAATCTGTGGATATATATCCCATTCAGCAGACAGGTTGAGGCTTCATCAAATAACTCATCAAAAAAAGATTGATGAAAAAGAATTGAAATATCGATGCCATAAATGCGATTATAAAACCTACCGGTTGTATAGTTTCAAGGTAAGTCAATTTCTAACCAATACTTAAAATTATTTTATAAAAAAATTTCAGGTTCATAAATTAAACCATTTAAAACCCAGTCAAATCAAATATTTCTATTGTTTCCATTGCGATTTCAAAGCAAAGCGCAAAGATAATCTGAAAACTCACGTGTTGAGACACTTTAAAAAGGAAGAGGTGACCCTAAAGTGCTACTTATGTGAGTTTTCAACGAAAAAAAGACAATTGTTAACTGATCATCTTAGCATGAAGCACACAAATAAAAATCAATAATCTTTTCAAATTTAAAATGCCAATCGCAATAATCATTTTTAAATATATTGTTTTATCACAAGATTGTATTATTTTTTATTTTGAAGAGTGAGGAACGTTGAGGTGATGAAATAAGTTCATATACCTAGTATGTGTAATGACCCGGGAAAAATAAACCCATAATTTACAATGTCTTTACTGTAAAAATTAAATCAAAAATCAAACAATCAATAACTGAATTTCCTGTATTTTAAATCAGTATCAATAAATTGAAAATGAAAGAAATTAACGTTGACCCCAAATTAATTAAAATATTCATATACGTTCAAATTTTATTAGTTAGTCACCCCAAGCGTGTGTCATCACATAAATCAAATCCATAATAGTTATTTATGTATCAAGGGAATTGTTAATATAGGTAATATTAACATAATAATTACCTATATTAATAGACACTTACCAGTTAAACCAGTTATGTCAGTTTGATAGATATATGATTGTTGTTGTCAATTAATATAATAATTGTAATATAAAACGTTCCTGAATAAACCTATATTATAAAATAAAACATGGCGCAGTCGTAATAGTGAACCGACCTACGAAGAAATGGAATTTAACAAGCCCAAAGAGTTATTCCTTAGTGGAAATGTTGCTGAAAATTTTCGTAACTTTAATGATGAAGTACAGATTTATTTTTTGGCTACTGAAACGAATAAAAAATCGAAGGAAGTTCAAGTAGCAAGATTAAAGAATTTGGTGGGATCAGAAGCTCTAAAGTTGTACAAATCTATTTCTGATCTGAAGCCAGAAGAAGAAAATGTTGAGAAGATCTTACGCGTTTTGGAAAATCATTGCATACCCAAAGAAAATGAAATAATGAATGTATACCAATTCTTAAATAGGAAGCAACAAGAAGGTGAGCCGTTTGAAAAATTTTATGCTGACCTAAAATTTCTGATCAACTTATGTCATTTTGAAAGTCAGGAAAACAAATTATTGAAAGCACAAATTGTATTGGGAATTTTTTCAAAAAATTTGAAGGAACGTTTTTTACGTGATGACTGTTCATTAGAAAAAATGATTGATGTATGCAAATCTGTTGAATTAGCAGAAAAAAATATCAAAATTTTATCTTCAATTCCCAATGAAATGTGTGTTGACAAAGTTACATATAAAACTGACAGATCAGTGATCAAAAAAATACAATTCAACAAATTTAAATGTTTTCGATGTGGTTCCCAGCATGATTATGGTAATTGCCCAGCATTTGGTAAAAAATGTTTCAATTGTTCACGTATTAACCATTTTTCTTCGGTGTGTAAAACCCAGAAACAAAACGATGTAAGAAAAAATTGTAATGAAGTAGAAACACAAAATGAATCCCGAAATGATGTGGAAGTATATGAAGTAAATGGAAAAACGGAATTATCCGAAGAATGATCCAATTCATGGTTTTCTATAAATGTAATAAATAATGCAGGTGACCTCCAGACTGAAAAATCTTGGTATAAATGGTTGAAACTGGAGGATTTGGAAATCAAATTTAAGCTTGATACAGGTTCAGAGGTGAATATTTTGCCATTAAAATACATCAAGCAACTTGGTTTGCAAGATAATATTAAATTTTTCAATATAAATTTAATTGCCTACGGGGGATTCAAAATTAAATCATTAGGTAAAATTGTTTTTCAAGTGGAAACAGATAAAAATATCAATATTTTAGAATTTGCTGTAGTTAAAGACGATTGTGTTCCGATATTAGGGTTAAATTCATGCCTCAATTTGAATTTAGTTAAACGTATTGATACAATAGCAAATCATTCAAATTTATGTAATAAAACATTTTTTTTTGAAAAATATAAAGACACATTTGAAGGTTTAGGCTGTTTTCCTGATATTTGCCAAATTAAGCTTCATAAAGATGCTATTCCTTTTGCCAGTTCTGCTCGTAGAATACCTATGAAAATCAAAGATAGATTAAAACCAGCTTTAGATTTTTTGGTTGAAAGGGAAATTATAGTTTCAGTAAATGAACCAATCGAGTGGGTTTCTAATATAGTAATTGTCGAAAAACCTAATAAATCTTTAAGAATTTGTATAGATCCAATTCATTTAAACAAATTTATTATTAGGGAAAGATATACTATTCCTACAATAGAGGAACTAGCACCATCTCTTGCATATAAAAAATATTACAGTGTGCTTGATATTAAAGATGGTTTTTATCATTTAAAATTAGATAAGGAGTCAAGCCAACTCTGTGCATTTAGTACAGTATTCGGAACATACAAATTTTTAAGAGCACCATTCGGGTTATGTAATTTACCGGAACTTTTCCACAAATTAGTATTTAAATATTTTGGAGATATTCCAGGGGTCACAATATATTTTGATGATATCTGTATAGCTACCGATACTATTGATCAACATAACCTGGTTATACAGGAAGTTTTGGAACGAGCTAAAAAATATAATATAAAATTTAATTTTGAAAAATTTCAATATTGTGTAGAAGAAATTAAATACTTAGGGGTAATTTTTTGTAAAAATGGAATGTTGCCTGATCCTTCAAAAATTGAAGTAATTAAAAATTTGCCTCATCCAAAAAATAAAACAGAATTACAGAGAATATTAGGTATGATAAATTATTTAAGGCATTTTATTCCAAATTTATCCAAGGTTATTTCTCCTTTGCGCGAATTATTAAAAAAAGACATTGAATGGAATTGGTCAAATCTACAAGTTCAATCGTTAAATAAAATTAAAAATATTATTTGTAGTAGTCAAGTTCTTGCTAATTTTGATATATCACTCCCTATTGTCATTCAGTGTGATGCATCAAAAGATGCACTTGGATGTTGTCTTTTACAAAATAATAAGCCTGTTTGTTTTGCTTCTAGATGTTTAAATTCAGCAGAAATTGAATATGCGCAAATTGAAAAAGAACTTTTGGCTATTACTTTTTCCTGTCAGAAATTTCATAATTATATTTATGGACACAATGATGTTACTATTTATACAGATCATATGCCATTATTATCTATCATTTCAAAAAGCATTGGGAAAATACAAAATAATAGAATTCGGCGTTTGAAACTAAAGTTATTTTTGTATAATTTTAAAATAAAATATTTGCCTGGCAAAAAAATGTATATTGCAGATTTTTTATCAAGATGTAATGTAAAAACACCTATATATCATGATCATTTAATGAATGACGTTGTGCATGTAATAACAGATAAAACTTTAAATATTTCTGATGAAAAATTGAAAGAATTTCAAGAAGAATCTCTCAAAGATAGTGTTCTATCTAATATTATAAATTTTTATAAAAATGGTTGGCCAAAAAATTTCAATATGACCGGTGAATTAACTCATTATTACAAATTAAGAAATAATATAGAACTTGCAGATGGTTTACTTTATTATAATGATCGATTGATGATACCAAGTTCAATGAGAAAATTTATGTTAAACTTATTACATGAAACCACATTCCAGTCCAGTGCATCTAAAGTGCTTGAAATTGTTAAAAATTTCTTTTACTGGCCAGCAATCATAAATGATGTTAAAAATGTGGTGTCTTCTTGTTCATTATGTCAAAAATATGTCAGATCAAAGTCAAAAGAGCCCCTTATAAATCATACCATACCTAATATTCCATTTTATAAAATTGGTGCTGATATTGCACAATACGCTGGTAAAAATTATCTTGTTATTATGGACTATTTTTCTAGATGGATTGAAATTTGTCCGATTAAAAATAAAACTTCTACTTCTTTGATAAAAGAATTTAAAGGCGTTTTTAGTAAATTAGGAATTCCTTCTTTGCTAATTACTGACAATATGCCATTTTCATCTTTTGAGTTCAAAATGTTTGCTAAATATTGGAATTTTACTATTCAAACAAGCAGTCCACATTATCCTCAATCTAACGGACTGGCGGAAAAAGCCGTTGGTATTGCCAAAACTATGCTCAAAAAAGCACATGATTCTGGTATCGATTTGGAATTATATTTGCTAAATTATCGTAATTCACCTGCAGCAGGTCTTATTTACTCACCAGCACAATTGATGTCAAGTAGAATTTTAAGATCCAAATTACCAATTTTATCAGAAAATTTAATACCGAAACTTGTACCTAGTGCAGTTTTCACAGAAATGGAAAATATGCAAACCAGGCGAAAAGAGTATTACAACAAAAATAGTATCGGTGAAACTGATTTTGTTGAGGGGGAAAAGGTATTGATTCAAGACGTTTCTACTAAGCTTTGGCATCCAGGAGTTATTATTAGTAAATGTTCACAGCCTAGATCTTATTTAATTAAAACATTGGATAATGAAAATGTTTTACGAAGAAACTCACGGTTTCTACGAAAATATAAAACAAATTTAATTTAGAATTTAAAGGGGAAGATGTTAATATAGGTAATATTAACATAATAATTACCTATATTAATAGACACTTACCAGTTAAACCAGTTATGTCAGTTTGATAGATATATGATTGTTGTTGTCAATTAATATAATAATTGTAATATAAAACGTTCCTGAATAAACCTATATTATAAAATAAAACAGGAATTATGAGGGTGTTAATACCCCAGGGCAACGTTTGTATCCCGAGGGCCTCTGGCCCGAGGGACACCAATTGCCCGTGGGTATTAACACCTGATAATTCCCGTGGTACATAGATAATTTTATATCCTACTGAATTTACTGTATTCTGTCTATTTTCATAAAGGAATAAACCATAAACCAAAATTTCTATTTTTTCTCAAAGTTTTACCTATTCAAGCGGGAGTCATGAAAATCCTTAACTCCCTTGGGAGTTATGATATCCTTAACTCCCGCGCGGGAGTTATGAAATCCTTAACTCCCTTGGGAGTTAAGACCCTGTTTATGACTATCGTAACCAAGGTATTATATGTTTATAATAGTACAGTAGGATTTAATAGTTATTTATGATATAAGTGTTAAAAGTACATTTTTAAGGCACGCATGTGAAAGTTTGCAGAATG